AAAATATATTTTTATTGCTTTCAGAGAGGAAGGGAGAGGGAGAGAGAGAGAAACATCAATGATGAGAGAGAAACATCATTGATCAGGTGCCTCCTGCATGGCCCCTCCTGGGGACTGAGCCCACAATCCAGGCATGTGCCCTGACTGGGAATCATACTGGTAACCTTGTGGTTCATGGGTCAACGCTCAACCACTGAGCAACACCACCCGGGCTGCTTCCTGGTTTTTAAATGGTGCCCAGAAACTCAGGTTTCTGCTCAGAAATCACATGGTCAGAAAGGTGTTTCCTGATGTCCATCTAAAATAGCATTTTCTTCCTTACCTAGCTTTACTTTTCTTCTTAGCATTGATCTAACATATCTGTATTGTCTGTATTTTCCCATAAAGTATACATCCATGAGAACAGGGACTTTATTTTGTTCACTTTGTATCCTAGTACACAGGACAGTGTTTAGCATATAGTGGGCATTACATTTTTAAATGAATTGTTACTAATAATTCGATATTTCAATAAGAAGCTGACTTCACAATTGTTCCTTTTAATAACTTTAGAAATTGCCACTCTTTGCTTAAGGATTGCTTAGACCTTATCATAAATAAATAAGGTTACTCTGTGATTTTTTTCCATTCCAGGTTTCAGTGTGGCCCAGAAACCGTTTGGAGCCACATATGTATGGAGTAGCATTATAAACACTCTTCAATCACAAGTGGAGGTGAAAAAACGAAGGCACCATTTAAAAAGACACAATGACTGCTTTGTTGGTTCAGAAGCTGTGGATGTTATTTTTTCTCACCTAATTCAGAATAAATATTTTGGTGATATAGATATTCCTCGGGCCAAAGTAGTAAGAGTGTGTCAAGCACTTATGGACTACAAAGTATTTGAAGCAGTTCCAACCAAAGTCTTTAGAAAAGACAAAAAACCTATGTTTGAAGATAGTAGTTGCAGCCTTTATAGATTCACAACAATACCCAACCAAGACAGTCAATTTGGCAAAGAGAATAAACTACATTCACCTTCTAGGTTAGTATATAATATAAGGTTATCATGGGCATACTGGCAGGATTTTGTCTACTTATTAATAAGATGCTAACTGGCTTTGTTTCTTTTGAATTACTAAATTAGGCTAAAATCTGGGTTTGTGGATAAATTTGATCAAGTAGAGAGAACTTTTATTTTTGGCTATCTTTTAGAATTCTTGTTTGTTTCTGCTAAATATAAAATATGAACAATCAACAAACTGATTTTTCTGTTTCAAGTTACAATTTATAGTGTAAAAAATGTTAGCTTATCTACAAAATGGTATGAGAACAGAGAAGGTGAACGCAGGCAGGTAGGGTATTACTAGATTCCACAAAATGGTAGATGTGAAGTATGAAAGGCATGTGGGAGCTAGAATGCACAGGTTTCATATGACATATTAAGGAGTTTGTGGCTGGTCATACAGTTTTGAGAAGCCACAGAAAGATTTTAAGCAGGATGAGATTGCATTTTAGAAAGGTCATCCTGGCAGCTGTACGGTCAGCCTAATGGGGAGAGTCAGTTTGGAATCGATTGCAGTATTGCAGCCTACAGGTGAGGGTGAAGCAAACGGCCGTGGTGAAGATGAGGGAGACACATAAAGGGAGCCTGTGGGACAGAACTGTAAAACCCCAGTGACTGAAATGAATGTGGGTGATAAGTACATAATGAACTGAGTTATTTGTTATAAAAAAACTCCAAAACTTTTTCCTTTTATTCCCCTCACCTCAATCGTGCAGAGGTAATTGAATCTCTTATAATTCAGAGGTGACACAAGTTTAATGTATTGACTTTCAAATATTTTAAAACTATATATTTAAAACATAATAAGATTTACCGCTATATGTGAGAAGGAAATATGAGGGTAAGGTAGGGCTAGTCAACACTTTCCAGATGCAGGTCCACACGCTTTATCTGAAACCTCTGGGGACCTGACTGATTCGTTTAGGAATTTGGAACTTAGGAGAGTTTAGAAAGGTATTTTGTACATATATATTAGATAACACCCCTAGAAGGATCTTTAATCAACTTATTAATGTTCTTGTAGTAAACAAAACATTCATACTAACTGGGATTTATAAAAACTATGATAGTCTCAAAACAAGTTTTGTCATCACATGAGTTCTGAATAAACTTTAGATTTTTTCCAAGCTTTTTGGGTTTCAGAATTGTGAATAAAGGGTTGTAGATTTGTATTTGGAGAATGATTAGCACTGTCTACCAAAGAATGCCCCAGAAATAGAGATAACTAATAAAAAACATTAAGCATAATGACGTTTGTTTTAAAATTCAGACTAACATTTTAGTCATTGAGTTACTTAAATCTAAATATTCAAAGGAGAATTTAGAGTATGTATATTTAGGCCTAATACAAAAGGTGGGATGTTTTGTATTTTATTCTACTCTTAGAATTTGCATGTATTGTGTTTTTATTCAAATACATAAACTTTCTAGAAACTCTTGGCTCTCGAATACTAAAATATTTCTGTGGACTTACTAATAAGCATTATTTTATGAAATAAATTCATTTTAGGTATACAGATGCATTTTTTAAATCATCTGATATCAAATCAGCAAGTTTAGAGGACCTGTGGGAAAATCTGAGTTTAAAGCCTGCTAACTCCCCTCATGTAAATATCTTTGCAACTTTGTCTCCACAAGGTAAGTTAAAGATGATGCAAGTAAGAAGCAGAAGGCTAATTTCAAATAGTTATTTAAAAATGTTACAATTTTAACCTTTTTTAGAATTTAAATATTCAAAGCACAAAGAAAGAGCACACTGTGTATTAAAACTGTTTATATTAAGTTTTAACAGAGGTCTATTATCTTTAACAAATAGATCAGTGTTGCAATTCTTGAACACTGACTTTTGTCCTGTCAGCTGGCAGAGGTTCAAATCTGAAATGTTTTGCATGCAGATTTTTATTTAAAATATGCTCTCAGATATTTATTTCCTTAAGATTTTATTAGGTTAAATAAAAATTTGAAAATTCCATTAAAATAGTAACAGAATTCTTATATTCTTCCTTGTCTGTGGAAATGGAATATAGTTTCATGACTGATTTCCACCTTCCCTCCCCCATCCTAATTGTGGAAACCCAGAGTGGAATAATCTGCAGCCAAGAGTTTCAAACAAGTTTTCAGATTGAATGAACCATTCTTTCTTCCAAAGTCCTTATTAACATGCTTTATGACTTGATTTCTTATCTCTGCCATATTGCTTTTTATAGTACAAGAATGAAAGGAATTCCTGTTGTCCAAAGTCTGTTCTCCTACACTTTAAACAAATCTTGAATTGTTTTCAGAAATCACTTAATAAGGTTGACTATTTCTCTCTCTCTTACTTTTTTTTTTGCCACAATTTATTAGCTTATATATGCCTAGACAAATCTCAGGGTGAACATTTAGTAACTATTGTTATTTTTCGCTCTGTCATTTTTCCTGCGTAGTTATTAATGAAGTTTGGCAAGAAGAAACAATTGCGCGTCTACTACAACTTGTAGACCTTCCACTTCTTGACTCCTTACTCAAACAGCAAGAAGTTGTGTCTAAAGTTTCTCAACCTAAGAGGCAGCCTGACTTGGTCAACAATAGTAACTACCTGGACCGAGGGATTCTCAAGGCTTATGGTGACTCTCAGTATGTGGAACTACATATAATAATTTGAGTGTGCTTGTAGGATGGTTATAGCTAATTGTTTTAAGATAATCTTTTGAGTTCTTTGCTGGGGTCCAACCCCAGCAGGCCCAGGGGTCCCCAAAGGTGTGGACGGAATCGGCGAAGAAGGAATGACATGGAGGCAGCGTTCAGTTGATCAGCATAGTTGGGTTTTCCAGCCAGGTTCTGTTGATCAGCATAGAGAGGTTCTCCTGCCAGGTTCTATCCAGGTTCTCCAGCCAGGTTCTGTAGCCATGTTCTCTCGCTAGGTTCTCCAGCCAGGTCATTCCTTTTTCGCCGACTCCGTCCACACCTTTGGGGACCCTGGACCTGCTGGGGCTGGACCCCAGCAGTTCTTCTGTCCATAGAATCAGATATGCATTGTCAGTTGATATTATCAGTATTGGGGAAAGTAAAGAACAAAATCACTGTGGTCAAAATTAGAAAGAGATTTATATTTCATTATTTTTCATATTCATTTTTGTTTCACATATAACTTACTTGTACATCAAGTGAAGAAAATGATTATGCTCCATCTTCTTATCTTTGTTAAAATGTAGGTCTGTTTGGTCTCTTAGGGGTGTCAGTCTTTAAAGAAACCTGGAAAAAATGAACAGATTTGGCAAATTCTTAGAATCTTTTGACCACATATGTTTAAAAAATTTTTTAATTTACTTACTGATTTTAGAAAGAGACATTGACTTACTTTTCCACTTATTTATGCATTTATTGGTTGTTTCTTGTATGTGCCCTGACCCGGGATCATACCGCAACCTTGGTGTATTGGGACAATGCTCTAACCAACTGAGGTACCCGACCAGGGCTCCACCTGTGCACATTATATGCCTCTAGAATACCTGTTAAATATGTATTTTTAAATTAAGTAGTTTTGTTAAATAAATATAATGAAAGTAACTCTTGTTTCACCTCTACCATTCTCCTGAATATAAATCTTAAGATTTAAAGACTTAAGTTAACTTCAAGTTAAGGAAATTATGATTTTTTCCCCCCTTAAAGCAGAGCGCTATATTCCTTATAACTTTGGAGCTCCTCTCCTAAATATAATTATTATTTTTTTTTCTAAATATAATTATTAAAGGTTAAAATCTTGTATTTTAAGCTCATTTAATTTTTGATAATTTTGCCTTAGCAGATAGTGTTCCGGCATAGAGAGATGGAAATGTTAGAAAGAAATACAACTTAACATGTTTAGTACTTCACTGGATCTACATTCCAGTGAGCTATTAATAAACAAATAGTTGAATGTCAAAAGCTAACTTAAAACCTTACATGTAAAAGTTAATCCCAACTTACTAGTTATTGAACTCTGCATGTATAATGGGAGCTTATTATTCTACAGGAATTTAAATTACATTTCTATAATCTAAAGTAATGTGAAAACATTATGACCTTAAATTTAAATACAGAATCAGCAATTGCACTAGAAGTAACCTTAAAGATCATCTCGCTGCTTCTTATTATAAACTTGATGAAACTGATGCCCAGAGAGATGAAGTGACCTGCCCCCGATAATGCACCTGGGTGGTAGATATAGTTGTTCTGAGTCTATAGCAGTACAGTACATGAATATTTTTAAACTATATATATTAACAAATCAAATATTAAAAGTTATTTTATGTCTTGAAATACAGCCTTTTTCTGAAGTCACTCAGCTGGTATTTTTATTAAAAATGGTAATTAATATTTAATTATTCTGAAACCCTACCTTATCTTTCTCTATTCTCTCAGCCAAAGTGAGAGATGACATCATATATAGAGCTCTGAAGTAAGGAACACTATATTAGAAAAATAGTGGTCTAGGAATCAGATCTGGGATCTAGTCCTGTCTGGGACCTTGAGCAAGTAACTTAAGAGTTTCTGTGCCTCTACCGTAAATGTAAAGAATAGAGTTTGAATTTTGATGTCCTTTTTAGCTCTATATTGTACTGGATAGCTTCCATTTTCACTTTTTAAAAAGGTAAGGAAAAGAAGACATTAATAAGATGAACTTTTTATCTGTGATACATGACCTCTCTATATATTAAAAAGAATTACACATATCTTTACCTAAGTGTGTAGAAATTTATCCTGGTGGCAAACTGGAAATAGCTAGTAAATTGGGTACTATGTGTATTTTTGTTACTCTTGGCTTTTTAAAATGGTTCTTTTTTCCCCACATAGGGAAGATGAGTGGCTTTCTGCAGCAACTGACTGCTTGGAATACCTCCCAGACCAGATGGTGGTGGACATAAGCAGAAACTTTCCTGAGCAACCAGATAGAATAGACTTAGTGAAAGAACTTCTGTTTAATGCCATTGGCAAATATTACAGTAGTAGGGAACCTCTGTTAAATCACTTATGTGATGTTCATAATGGAATTGCGGAGCTCTTAGGTAAGTAAGAATCTTACTGGATACTAGAATTAGTATTTTGGAAGAAACAAGAAAAAAATTGTTCTCAAAATTAATCAGAATGATATAACTTCAAGCTAGGAGTGAATCTGGATTGTATGTTTATTTCAAAACATCTAGGGATCATTTGGAAAGAGGCTTTGATAAGTTCTGAAGTGACCTACAACTTCTAGTGCCCACAGAATGCCACTCTCATCCATTGGAAGTTCATTAAGCATAGAGTAGCTGTTCTTTTCTTTAGAAAGGAACACCAGTACCACCATCATTCTCCTTCAGTCTCTTCAAAATGGGACTCCTGCTTTGTCCCTCTACCAATATACCAGGCTATTTTTCTCAGGGAGGGTTGGTGACAGCAATACTGTACCTATAGTGTGCCCTTGAAATGTATTGAATTGATGGAGAACAGGCTGGAAATTTATGTACAAAGCCAAGACTTGGATTTAACATCCTAAGAGTAATTTATGACAAGGTCTTAGGATATTAGTTGCCAATTCGAGAATTGGCTTCCTTGATGGCATCAGTCATTCATTATAATTCCTTGTCTTTTTGTTTTGTTTTTTGCTTTTGAAAATTATTTTGAATACGTTTACTGTTCAGCTTAAGCTTTACCTTAATATTGTTCCCTTTAATATAGTCATATTTGGTCAAAATTAAAAGCACTTTTCTTTTGGCTAAAGTGAACGGGAAGACTGAAACAGCATTAGAAGCTACTCAGCTCTTTCTAAAGCTTCTGGATTCCCAGAGCAGAGAAGAGTTTAGAAGACTACTGTATTTCATGGCTGTTGCAGCACATCCTTCTGAATTTAAATTACAGAAAGAAGTAAGTCTTTTGTCTAAATGTTAAGTATTCAGTATCCTTAATACTTATAGGACCCACGTGTCACATCATTACATCATCAGCATGCTGAAATAGGATAATAGTTATTAATATTTAACGTTTGCCTTTTATGTTGAACTTTTAAATATGTGCCATTAGGTATGTGTTATTTTATTTTATAGAGTGACAACCGAATGGTTGTGAAAAGGATGTTCTCAAAAGCTCTTGTTGACAATAAAAATTTATCTAAAGGCAAAACTGATCTTCTGGTACTCTTTTTAATGGATCATCAAAAAGATGTCTTTAAGGTAAAACTCTGAAAGTAGTTCATTTGAGTTTATATAATAGGTCACTAGATTAAAATGCATTTGAATAATGTCCAATGTCTCCTCCTCCTCTTCCTCCTCCTCCTCCTCTTCCTCCTCCTCCTCCTCCTTCTCCTCCCTTCTTCCTTCTTCTTCTTTTTTTTTAAGATTCCTGGAACTCTACATAAAATTGTCAGTGTTAAGCTCATGGCCATTCAGAAGGGAAGAGATCCAAATACAGGCACAGGTAATCTGAGAAATATTATTTTAATGATCTTCCAAAGATAAATTCCTACTATTTACTTAAAAGTGTTTTACTATAATTAATTGTACCTAATTTCAACTAAACTTTAAACAACCTCCTCAGACTTAGCAGAGCTTCCTTAAACTCAGATGCAGACCGACCAGCGTTAGAAAGTTGGCAGTGCTTAACATCTTCCGCGCATGTTATAAAATGGGGACTAAATATAAAAATATTGATTTTTATAGTTAAACCTAAAGAATAGGTTCATTAACTGAACTTTTTACTCTTAATATTTAAGGATATACTTTTTGTGAGAGAATCGATCAAAGTGACTATTCGGACCATACACAGAAGACAACCAAGGATGAGCTATTGAGTTTATTAAAAACTATTGATAAGGATCCAAAACTGTCTGCCAAAGAGAAGAAAAAAATGCTAGGTCAGTTCTATAAGTGTCACCCAGACATCTTTATTGAATATTTTGGAGACTAAATTTCTAATGTCTGTATATCACTTGTGTTTTTTAAGAATTATGTATCTTAAAGACCCAATCACATTTGTAATTTTGAATGTTCTTCTAAATATGAAACTGTACTTAATAAAACCTTTTTGTATAACCTTTTGTGTCTGAAACTGAGTTATTAGATGGTGTATTGCTGTTAAGTATTGACCTCTCTTACGTGAGTTGATTTATAATTCTTGTGTATAAAACTTTCTAAAACATAAGAATTTAAATGACATTATAGTGTTTACATAAGAAAGTATTAAACATTAAGAATGTCCATAATTACAAGTTAATAGGAATGTGGTTTGTACCTTAAGAGGTATTCCTGAAAGATACAAAATTTGATGAAGTAAATTTACTAATTAACAAACACTGTAGACAAATTAGAAATTGAACTTTCCTAATGCTTTTGAAAACTTCAACATCTTTTATAACTTATTGTGGAAAATTTCAAACATATATAAAAAATGGGAAGGCCCTAACTGGTTTGGCTCAGTGGATAGAGCGTCGGCCTGCGGACTGAAGGGTCCCAGGTTCGATTCCGGTCAAGGGCATGTACCTTGGTTGCGGGCACATCCCCAGTAGGGAGTGTGCAGGAGGTAGCTGATCGATGTTTCTCTCTCATCGATGTTTCTTTTTTCTTTCTTTTTTTCCCTTCCTCTCTGTAAAATCAATGAAATATTTTGGGGGTGCTGGGACCCTCTGAGAAAAACTTTAAGAAGTACCAACTTTAAAAAAATATGTATATATTTTATATTGATTTTTTTTACAGAGAGGGAGAGGGATAGAGAGAACATCGATGAGAGAGAAACATTGATCAGCTGCCTCCTGCACACCCCCTAGTGGGGATGTGCTTGCAACTAAGGTACATGCCCTTGACCGGAATCAAACCTGGGACCCTTCTGTCCACAGGCTGACGCTGTATCCACTGAGCCAAACCGGCTAGGGCTCATGGTCAATCTTGTTTCACCTATACTCCCACCCACTCCTTGGTCCCACCCCAGCAAATTTCAGACATATCATTTTATCTATAAACTAGAGGCCCGGTGCACAGATTCGTGCACTGATGGGGTAATTCGGCATGGCCTGTGTCCTCTCATAATCCAGGACCCCTTGGGGGATGTTGGACTACCAGGTTCAGCCCGATCCCCGCAGGCCCTGCTGAAGGACCCCACTGATGCAGGAATTCATGCAACGGTCCTCTAGTATGCATATAAGATCTTTGGTTAATCTCATCCTGTCCTCTCCCCTTCCCTCTGAGATTCATTAGTCTGTTCCATATTTCCATGCCTGTGTGTTGAGTGTCTGCCCCCTGATGGTCAGTGCACATCATAGGTACTGGTTGAACGGTTGCTTAGGCTTTTATATATATAGATTTCAGTATGTTTGGCTAAAAGATAAGGACATTAAACATAACCACACAGAGACCCACGATTCCTTAATATCATCAAATGTGTAGTCAGTGTTCACATTTTCTCATCTTACATGATTTTGACAGTTTATTGGAATAGGGATCCAAATAATTGTAATTGGTTAATGTGTGTGCAAGAGGCAACCAATAGATGTTTCTGTCTTTCCCTCTTCCACTCTCTAAAAGATCAATGCAAAAATATCCTTGGGTGAGGATTAAAAAAACAAAACACTAAACTATGAGGAAACAACAAAGAAAAGAGAGAGCAGTCTGTAGCAGAGAGGGGAGTGCGATAGCCTGCAGCAGGAGGCGGGGTGGGATGACTTGGGATGACAGAGCAGGAGCGATCTCTAGAGCTGCCAGCTTTCTCCTCCCAAACCCTAGTGCAGCCAGCCTTGCAGGAGCTCCCTTTACCTTGAGGTAATTTGTTTCCAGTCCTTGTAGCCAAAACCGAAACACGAGTCAGTATGTTTTTAATATCTGAAGGAAGCAATTCAAAATATATCAAAAGGTGACAAGGTGAACTAAGTCAAATAGAGGTTTTGGTGTCACACGGTCCTCTCCACGTGTGAAAATCGTTTATATTAATCCAAGGAAGGTAGAGCACTCTTGGGGGAGGGGGGGCCTGGAGGGACAGGGGGTCTTGCTACGGAGGCGATTCCAGCCTGGCTGCATCTTAGGGTCACCGGGGAAGCTTAACAATTCTTGCCTGGCATCACCCCCTTCTCCCCCACTTCGCCCCCCAAGTTTCGGGTGACAGCTTTAGACTGTCCCCAGAAGACACCGAGGGGTAGTCAGGGTTGAGACGCCCCAATCTAGAGACTCGAGGGCACAGCCGTCTGGACTCAGAAGTGAAAACTGCATGTTTTCTTCGTGAATCTTGGTTCCAGTTGGATAAGTCCCCCCCCACCCCCACGCCGGAAGTGAACCCTGGTCTGAGGACGTGCACGTGCTGGCGAGGGACGGGCTTGAGGGCGGTGTTCGTGCGGTCTCTACTGTAGCCACCCTTTCGGAAGCAGTGCTTGCAAGCACCAATTCCACTCCCTCTTGCTTTATTCTGGTTCTTTTAATATAACAAGTTCGTAAGCTACAGGTAGAAGACAACTATTACCTTCACTTTGTTTAAAGCATGATTTAGTGCTCAGTCTTAAGAGCATTTTTTTTTCCACAAATGAACACAGTGAGGAGTCACGCAGTTTTGTTTTGTTTTTTTTACTTTTTAACATGAGGCACACAAAAAGAGTCTTTTCGCGTGCGCTGTTTTACAGCTACCGGCTGAGGGGAGAATGGCTTCTAGGGAGCAGCCTCGAGGCAGTCACGGCCCCACCACCTGGGACGGAGGAAGGGGAGGCTGCCAAACGGCCTCGTCCGAGCTCAGACGGACGCCTGCTCCGGGGGCTGCCCTGGACGTTCCCTGTGCCACGGCCCGAAAGCGGGCCGAGCCCTCGAGGGAACCGTCTGCCCCAAGCCTTCCGTCTTTTCAGGGCTAAAGTCTCACTCTTCCTATGACCAAGTGTAGCAGCCGCTTAAAATCTCAGGGGTGACCCCAGTACCAAACCTCGTCTGTGCCATGAACCTGAGGCCTGGCTGCCCAGGGGGTGGGCATGACTTTAACAGCCAAGATGAGGGGAAGGGAATAAACCACGTGCAACTACAACATCTGAAGTCATATTTACATTTGGAAACCTGGGCCGGGAAGCTGAGAACGCGTCGCGGCTGGCGACCTGCCCTTTTCCTTCACTTGCCTGAAGCCGCACCTCCTCTACCTCGCGCTCCTCTCCGGCCGCTCGCATCCTGAGGCGAACACCCGGCCTCATGAGGCCCCTGACTCTCCGGACCTGGCGCCGCCCCGCTCTGAGCCACGCCCCCTCTCCGTACGTGTCACCGCCCCTCTCTGAGCCACGCCCCCTCTCCGTACACAAACATGGCGCCGCCCTGGGCTTAGCCACGCCCCCTGCCTTTCCGTACAGAAAATGGCGCCTCCCACCTTGGGCTTAAGCCTCCAGGTGAAAAGCGGCCTCCCGCTTCCCGGCGCAGAGGAGCGATTACGCTGGCCGCTACCCGGCGGGGAGGGCGGCCCGCTGCGCGGCGAGGGATGTGGCCTTTGAGGGGCAGAGGCTGAACGCCCCGCCCGCCGCGCATCTCTCCCCGCCCCCGCCGGGGCGCCGGCCCAGCCAGATTCCCCGCCCCGGACGCAGCTAGGAAAACGTCGACTTCGCCGCAGGTGAGGGAAGCGGGCGCGGAGGCTGTCAGCACGAGTTCGAAATCAGGCACTTTTCTTC